TCTTCTCTTCTCTTCTCTTCTCTTCTCTTCTCTTCTCTTCTCTTCTCTTCTCTTCTCTTCTCTTCAAATTCTTATTCTATTCTTATTCTATTCTCGATTCCAAGGGTCTTCAAACTTGGCAAGTTTAAGACTTGTGGACTTCAACTCCCAGAATTCCTGAGCTAACATGACTGGAGAAAGAGGAATTCTGGGAGTTGAAGTTCACAAGCCTTAAAGCTGTCAAGTTTGAAAACCCCTGCTGTAGACCCTGCCTCATCTTTGCTGCCACCCGCCTGGGGATGCTTTGCATTGGCGTCTTACACGCCTTAATTTCCCAGCATGATGGGCTTAAAAGCAACTGGGATCCAGTACTCCACTCTGCAGGAAAACCCACTCAAACTATAGTTTTGTGGGAGCTTCATCCCTGAAGGCTTTCGGGAAGAGATTGGACTGCCATTTGTCGGAGGTGGTTTAGAATCTCCTCCTTGGGGGGGGTTGGACTAGATGACCTCAAAGGTCCCTTCCAACTCTGTTAATCTAATCAAACTATACTTTTGTGGGAGCTTCATCCCTGGCGGCTTTCGGGAAGAGATTGGACTGTCATTTGTCGGAGGTGGTGTAGAATTTCCTCGGGTGGGTTGGGGTTGGACTAGATGACCTACAAGATCCCTTCCAACTCTGTTTAATCTGATACTCCAGAGGCGGCTGACCAGCTATTCTTAAAACCCTCCAATTTCTGCAATCTCACCGTTTCCAAGTTGCAGTCGCAACTCTCTATGCAGATTCTCCATCCTTCATTGTCATGGTTGTCCCAAAGGTGTTTTCCAAAAAAAATAATAATTGATTTTTGGGTTTTTTTTTCTCCCTCTTGGGAAATGTTTCGCTCCTCCCCCAAGAAGCTTCTTCGGTTCCTTTTGAAAACACCTTTGTTTTCTCCAAAAGTCATTTACAGGGAATTCTCGACTTATGATGGTTCATTTAGTGACCTTTCAAAGTTTCAACGGCACTGAAAAATTGTGTATTTCCACAGTTGCGACTTTTGCAACATTGGGCGGGGGGGGTTGGACTAGATGACCTACAAGACCCCTTCCAACTCTGTTAATCTAATCCCCGTGGTTGTGTGATCAAAATTCAGAGGCTGGGCAACAGGTTCATATTTATGATGGTCGCGGTATCCCCTGGGGTCATGCGGTCGATCCCCTTTTGCAGCCTTCCGACAAACAAAGTCAATGGGGAAGCCAGATTCACTTAACAATGGGGTTACTAACTTATCCACTGCAGTGATTCTCTTAACAACAGTGGCAAAAAAAAGTCATAAAATGGGACAAAACTCATTTAGCAACTGTCTTAGCAATGGAAGTTTAGGTCTGAAATCTATATATATAAAAGTGAAATCCCACTCACGCATCATCACAAAATCTCCAGAACTGTAAAGCCTACAAAGTTGAAATTTGGCACATATTTTTCTTTTGGCTTCTAGGTGTTTACTAAGAAAGGATTTTTTCAAAATGACCATCAGAGCTATTAGTATTTCCTATATTATTATTATTAACACGCTCTGATGCTAAGGAGTTCTGCTCCCCCTCCCCACCTGGAAAGAAACCTCTTCCAAATGCAAAACACAAGCAGAGGAGAGGAGTTTCAGTTTTCACAGCACCAAGCAACTTTAGTACAGAACAGTTGAGTTAAGCCATGCCCAGGCTCCTTGCTGTCTCCTTGCTCACACAGAAAATACTGTTTCAGTTTCCAAACAGCCCTCAACTCACATACTGACAGGACACTTGCCAGATGAATACCAATGGATGCTGGTAGGTAGAGGCAGAATTTTTTCCCCCTTATTTTCCTCCTCCCAAACTAAGCCCGGCCACGTAATTTCGTAGGGAAGCACAGGTATCAAGCTAGTATCCCTACAAGTCAAAGACGTTTTCCTTCCTTAGGGTTTTATTTTGTGGGTTGAGGTGGGTGAGACAGATATTTCCTCTTCCTGAAATCTCCCTGTGTTCTGTATCCCCACTTGTTTCACTCGAGGTCCCTTTAAAAATCTTGAATTTTAATCTGGAGTTTGCCTGCCCCACAGCCCAACCCTTAAGCCTCCTTTCTCTTCCTCTCTGGAGAATTAGATCAGTCTGAACTCAATTCCTCTTTTAAATCCCCTCTGGGGACGTCTGGTTCGTTTCCCCGCAATAGCCCGGAGGGATGAAAGGTGTCGCAATCATGGGACGGAGAGAGTTTGTCATGTGTGAGTTATGCGGAGAGAGCTTATCATGTGTGAGTTATGCATAACCCAGGCAGAGTTCACTGTGGTTGCTTTCCTGCAACACAGCATATTAACAAATGTTCTAAAATGGGAATGAATCATGCTTTTTTGGGGGGCGGTGTTTAACTCACCTGGCCTAATATTGCCGCTCACTGCAAAATCTTGTGTAGCTCACAAGCACTGATTTTTTTTTCCACTGGGTTTAAAACGATCCGAAATGTTTTGCTAGGGGTGACGGACATTAAAAAGAAAAATCCAGGTTGTAAAAACCAGCTTGGCTGCAAAATTCAAGGGGAGAGAGATTGTCCAAATTGGTTGTTTTGGTAGGTAATTGTAATTAATTTATTTATTAAGAGCAGTTAGGAAGAGGCTCCGCCCCAAAGTGATTATTTTAGTGGATGGGTGGTTTTTATTAATTTATTAAGAGCAATTAGGGAAGAGTCAGCCCAAAATTGTTATTTTGGTAAATGCGTGGTTTTAATTAATCTATTAAGAGCTATTAGGAAGAGAGCTCAAAATGGTTATTTTGCTAGATGGGATGGTTTCATTTATTTATTTATTTTTTAAGAGCAATTCAGGACAGAGTCAGCTCAAAGTGGTTATTTTGATATATGGGTGATTTTATTAAGAGCTGTTAGGGAGAGGCGCAACGCAAATTTGTTATTTTGGTAAATGGGTGGTTATTTATTTTGTTTATTTTATTTATAACTATTAGGGAGAAACCAAGCCCAGATTGGTTATTTTGATAGGTGGTTTATTTATTTAATTTAATTTAATTTATTTATTAGGAGCTATTAGGGAGAAAGTCAGCTCAAAATGGTTATTTTGCTAGATGGGTGGTTTTGATTAATTTATTTATTAAGAGCTGTTAGGGAGAGATGCAATCCAAATTGGTTATTTTGATAGGTGGTTTTATTAAGCTACTTACAGGGAGCAGCTCAGTTCAAATTTGTTATTTCGGTAAATGGGTGGTTTTATTAATTTACTAGCAGGGTACCCGTGCTTCGCTACAAAACTATGTGATCGGGCAAGCTTTTGGGGAGGAAAATAAGGGGGAAAAATGCTGCCTCTGCCTACCAGCATCCATCGGTATTCCTCTGGCTAGCATCCTGTCAGTGTGTGTGTGTGAGAGGTGAGGGCTGTTTGGAAACTGAAAGAGTATTTGCTGTGTGAGCAAGAAGGAGACAGCAAGGAGCCTGGGCGTGGCTTAGCTCAACTGTTCTGTACTAAAGCTGCTTAGTGCTCTGAAACTGAAACTAAAGCTTGTGTTTTGCATTTGGAAGAGATTTCTTTTCAGGTGAGGAGGGGGAGTAGAACTCCTTAGCATCAGAGCGTGTTAATAATAATAATAATACTATAGGAAATACTAATAATTCTGGTGGTCATTTCAAAAAATCCTTTCTTAGCAAGCACCTAGAAGCCAAGAGGAACAGACGTGCCAAATTTCAAGTTTGTAGGCTTTACGGTTCTGGAGATCTTTGTGTGATGCATGAGGGGTATTATTTCGCTTTTATATATATAGATTAAAAACTATTAGGGAGAGACCGATCCCAAATTGGTTATTTTGATAAGTGGTTTTATTTATTTATCTATTAAGAGCTATTAGGGAGACAGACTAAATTGGTTATTTTGGTAGGTGGGTAGTTTTTATTTAAACAGCTATTGAGGAAGAATCAGCCCAAAATGGTTATTTTGCTAGATGGATGATTTTAATTTCTTTATTAAGAGCTATTAGGGAGACACACAGTCCAAATTGGTTATTCTGTTAGGAGGGAGGTTTCATATCTTAACATTAGTTTAATAAAGACACACAGGGAACAAGGAGAGAAGAATTCCTCTGCCAGCTGCCTCGAAACTGTAAAAACCAACATCCATGGAAGAGTTTTAAAAAAAAAACACAACTCCATTGCCTGCAGGGAATTGAAACTTTAAAACGATCCGGTTAAATATTTCCTCTGTGATTACGCTTATAATCTGTTCTTCAGCTGAGTTTGCCAGTTTCTTTCTTCTCTCTCCAGTTTCCCTCCCTTCCAAATTTGACAACGAAACAAATAAAACTTTGTACCTGCAGGTTTTCAAAATGGATTGGTACTTTACTCCTAAGAGTATTGGGTGTGTGTGGGGGACACCACCTTTGTTTAATTTTCCCAACTACCACCTGGAAGCAGAGTTGCACCAGGGGGGTGAAGAACTAAATCAGGTGTGAGAAATTAATTTTCCCAAGGGATCCCATGCGAAATCAGGGCCGTTGTGGAGGGCTGCGCAAAGTGTTTAGCGACACACGCATGCGCCCAGGTGAACTAGAAGA